ACCTTTTGTGCCTTATCAGATTCCACAGTGACATCGTAGTGGAATGGTTTGTGATTGAGACGCATTTGACGAGCGTACAAAGATTTGTCCCACACGAATTTACCATCATCGAAGACCATTTTGTCGTTCAACAAGTTAGAAACATCAATATCAACCAAATCGAAATAAGTGACCAATTCACTAACGCTGACATCCTTGACTTGAACTCCTTGAGCAAACAGTTCTTCTTGTGTGTATGGTGTGAAATGATAATTGAAACGGTAGAAGACATCGGCAACTTTCTTGTAGAAGCTGTACCACATTGGATCACGCATCATAGTTTCGAAGTTGAGGAAAACATTTGGATATATCTCAAAATCGTTGTAGTCCACATCAGCGAGATACATATGACTTAACATATTCCAATAGCTGAAGAAGAATCTATCGAAAGTATCAATATTCGATTGCATGTAACTTCCGATGAGTTCAATAGATTCGGGTTTGCGCATATCGATCTTGTGTCCATCAGCGGTGGTGTAGTAACCATAGTCTATGATATCATAGATACGCTTGAATCCACTTTGGATTTGGTTCAACATGTCGTATTTGCCATAAGATCTACGTTCGAAGTAGTTGCTGCGAGTGCTGAATCCAACACCGTTATAGGAAATCAATTCGGAATCATAACCATATTCGTAAGCGTGATCCCAGGAGAAATCGTCAATTTCACCGAAACCATGAGACAAACGTTCCAAATAGTAACGGTTCAAAATCTGAGCAACATTGTATAACCAAAGTTCACCACGACGATCCTTATTCAAACCGAAAGTTTTACCGTCCAAGAAGAAAGCATAATCCATGTTCAAGTAGTACCAATATGAGTTCCAACCCAAATCCTCAGTGAAGTATGATAATACAGAGTGTTCGTTGTAGTAGTCAATGTCACGGGTGTAATCAACCGGATGCCAGAACATGTTGATATTCTTCATGAATGAGACATATATATCGTCAGAAACAAATTCATAAGAGTTTTCACGAAGAGGCAAGCTCCTCTCGGCGGCATACC